TGATTCTTCTTTCACAAAAACATTTGGGAATAATTTCTATGGAAGTATTAGCCTTTTCCTGCTATCCTCCAGGATTCTTTTATGGATTCTTTTACGGGTCAAGTGAGACGCATATGCTGGTGGTGGGCATAAGCAGAAGAAAGCTCTGTACCTCAAGAATGACAATTACATTTCCAGATTTCTCCAGCTTTAAAATAATTCCACTAACGCATAGGAGGCATAGCATGAACAATGGTCAAGCCAGGTCAAAACGGCCACATGTGGTACACCCACGGACTGGCGAGTCCACACACAGGGACGGAGACACAGATGGGCTACAGAAAGCACAACACAAACAAGAGAAAAGTAAGAAAAAACTGGATGTGGACAAGAGAGCAGAACTTCTGTTAAGAGTAGAAGCAGCAACACAAGCGGGACAGCCTATGGCAGGAATAGCTGTCACTCAGTAGAAGCCACGTACCTGGCCTAACGTGATGAGCACTGCCTGTACTTAGTCCTCACTCTGAGAGACAGGTGTGTGTTTTCAGTTCACCGATGAGAATACTGAGAACTTTTGGGTTCAATGACTTACGAAGTTCACACAGTAACTGATGGAGAACGCACTGGGGACCCATGTCCACTGACGCAGAAGCCATGGTTTGCACCCCCAGCATGGTAACACAGTTCCTTTTAAAGGTAATGAATACTTATAAAGGTGTCCATAAACAATGCCACCCACAGATTATCGTAAAAATCTCTCATACAATACACTTTAAAAAGCACAAATACTTTTATGCAGAAAACTCAACTCTTGACAATCAGCAAGCAAGTACATTCTCTCAAGTTTACTACCTATCCTTCAAGGGTACTCAGGAAGCTTTCTTGTAGAGAGAACCACAGGGTAAACATTCCAGGAAGGCAAAGAATTCCTTTGTGACACAACTGATCACACCATAAGCCTCCTGCTCTGAGTGTTTGGATTTTCTACAAGAAATTTTCTTAAAACAGTACATATCTGTAACCTGTAATGTGTTTTTTTTAAAGATCAATCTATATTAGCCAGTTCTGAAATGAATAAACAAGATTAAGAAGTTTCATGAACTGAGTAAATGCTGGGCTTCAGTTGATTACCTTTCACTTTAG